GATCTCGAGGTGAAGGAGGGCCCAGATTGGCCAGAAACTGTATTCCTTCCGCCCTGAATGCTGTCTGGGTACCTGCACACAACAAGTGAATGTATTCGACCATAGGCCTGGGCGCGGTACCTTTGACTCTACAGTTGACTTTGACTGTTGAATTTCCTTTGTGCTGCATTCGGTCACACAGCCTCCTCGACAGACTCGGGTTGGGCATGTCTCGGTCACATAGCCCAGCACAGACAACTGAGTCTGTGCTTTTACCGGGGGCAATGTTCTGAGCCCCCGTCTGCTGCTGAACAGAGTTACTGCATTCCCGCCGACCCAAATTTCGAGTTCCATCGCAGAAACATTTAAGACTTCAACCCACGTTCATAAGCAGAGACAATATCAGGAGCAGATTCAAGGAGTTCTCTTTTACTAAACCATCTGTCCTCAGATGGTTTCTGACTCTTAAAACGAACCTCGAATTGCTTTTGGGGTCGTCCTCGTGCACCTGTAGAGAAGAACCCTTGTTCTATAATTCGGTCCACTTCATATCCACCATCCATATCTGGCGGTATCATAGATGGTCTATGAGGGAATTCATCTCCTTCTACATAAGGTAGCAACTCAGACGCATGAAAGACAGAATAGGTCCTGAGATGAGGGGGTATATCAATTCTGTAAGACGGTCCCTCTGCATCTCCAATTACTTTAAGAACTTCCCAAAGTCCAAAATAGACAGGCAGAAGTTTCTGAGAGACATTTTCTTCTAGTGAAAACTCTTTAGACTTGACCCAGACCAAATCACCTTCTCTGAACGTTGATGGTCGTCGATGCTTATTAGCTTGTTCGATCATTCGGTCCTGAGCTTTCTTTAAGTTCTCCTTTACCTTTTTAATGTCTTCTTGAAACAATAYTGCGTATTCGYGGGTCCCTRGAGGTAACYYAAGAAACTGGTCCCTCRTCAATACATYAATGGGACGCTTAGGTTTCCACCCTTTATGCAGTGCGTTAGGTGTTCGTCTTGTAGAGGTATGAATACTACTATTATATGCACTTGCTATCTTAGGTAAGTTCTCATCCCAATCTATTTGATCGGGTCTTACATACATGCGCAGAAGCTGTTGGCACAAACGGTTCATTTGTTCACTCTGCCCATTCGTTTCAGGGTGTCTACCCGACGACCTGGTCAGACGTGTACCGTATGCCTCCATCAGCTTTTGCCATGGCATACTTGTGAACCGGGTATCTCTATCAGATACAATGGATAAAGGGAAACCATATTCAGTCACCCATTGCATCTGAAACTTTTGGATCACAAGTTCCGTTCTGGCTTTTTCGGGTAAGGGAATGAACATAGCATAGTTAGAGAAACGATCCACAATTACCATTACCTGACTATTGTCATTCCGACTTTTGGTGAGGCTCATAAAATCCATAAAGATCGACTCACCTGGCTCGCTTGGAATTGGTAACGGTCTGAGAAGACCAAGTGGATTCTCATGTGAGGGTTTGTTTCTCTGACACACAAGACAAGTACGAAYATACGTTAGTACATCCTCTTTCAAYCCCTTCCATTCAAAGCGTTCTCTAACTTCAGCGTAGGTTTTCTTGAAACCAAAATGACCTTCGGTGTCGTGACATTCCCCAATAATCAGACTTTTGATTTCTTCTTGGTGAGGAATACACAATCGTTGTTCAGTTTGGTCTAGCAAGAAAAACAAACCATCAGTTATCTTATAGTTGGGAAGCAGACTCGGGTCTTTCGCAAGGACATCCATGATAGGTTTCCATATTGGGTCATTAACATATCCTTGGCGAATTTTATCTTTCAGATCATTCCCAACGTCTAGGTAAGAAACAATGACACCAAAAAAATCACATCTTCTAGACAATGCATCTGCAACMACGTTAGACTTACCTTTGATAGTGTTCAACTCAAAATCAAAAGTGTCAATAAATGCAGACCATCGTACTAGCTTATCAGAGAACCTAGGCTTTGTCTTTATCCACTTCAGAGTAAAGTGGTCTGAATACACAGTGAAGTGTCTCCCTAATAGAWAGTGTTTCCAGGTGTCTAAGGCACAGACTAACGCATACAATTCCCTTTCGTAGGTAGAATTGGCAATCTTTTCAGATGGCAATCGTGCAGACATAAACTCAATCAGTCTGTAACCATTGCCGTCGTTTTGTTGAAGCACTGCGCCAATCCCATATTGACTTGCATCAGTGGTGACAACAAAGGGAAGAGATGAATCATCAATTTTCAGAACAGGATAGTGAGTCAGAGCGTACTTTACCTTTTTGAATGAGGACTCACAATCCTTGTCCCACAACCATATTGTTCCTTTCTTTAGCAATCTTCTCATTGGTGCAGCGAGCAATGAGAAGTTCCTGACAAACTTCCTATAATAGCTTGCCAAGCCAAGAAATGATCGTAACTCAGTTACAGACTTAGGTTGTGGCCAGTCTCTAATTGCTGATATTTTCTTTTCTTCAGGCCTGAGGCCATCTTGGTTTACTACATGTCCTAAGTATAAAACTTCAGACTTAGCGAACTCAGACTTCTTCGGGTTGATTTTGAAGTTACCTTCTCGCAACTTACTCAAAACCAGACGAAGATGCTTCTCGTGTTTTTCTAATGTTTTGCTATATACAGAATGTCATCCAGATAGACGATGACGAACTGGTCCAACCATTGACGAAATAACTCGTTCATTGACCGTTGGAATGTAGCAGGAGCATTAGTCAATCCGAAGGGCATTACCATAAACTCGTAATGACCATACCTGGTCCGGAAAGCAGTCTTGTGTTGATCCGCGGGCTCCACCTCGATCTGATGGTACCCAGACTTCAGATCAATTTTATTGAAGTACTTGCATCCCTGTAGTTGGTCAAGTAAATCGTCGATGCGAGGGAGTGGTTCGGCATTCTTGACAGTGACGGCATTCAACCCTCGATAGTCAATACATAGACGTAATTCACCTTCCTTTTTGGGTACAAACAAGACAGGTGCTCCATAAGGAGATGAACTAGGGCGAATCCATCCCTTGTCAGTAAGGTCTTGCAACTCCTTAAGTTCCCTGGAAGACATTCGATAGATAGGGCCCTTGGGAATTTTACTACCCGGAATAATCTCAATAGTATGCTTTATAGTGTGTTCAGTAATTCCGGTGGGTTCTTTCTGCAGATCCTTATATTCAGAGAGAAGACTTTCAATCGTCGGAGGACAGGAAGAAGAAGACTCACCGACTTTCTTTACCAGCACCAACATAACTTCCTGTTCCAACTTTTTCTTAGAAACCATTGAACGAAAAGCTGGATAACTCATACAACAAAAGGATAGACTTGAGTCAGAGCCAGACTTATGATATAATTTAATTGGTTTCAGTTCTGATTGCGCATCTTTGAGTTGCACAATCTTGTTTTTGAAATCAATGTCCGGGTTGGCTTCTTCGTGCCAGTCCATACCCAGCATGATATCAAAAGGTAAATTATTTTCTATGAGGAAGGATAATTCATGCACAATCTTCTTTCCTTCCCTTGTTTGAAACTGACACTTAATACGATCAACACACTAAGAGACAGTGATCGTACTCTTGTCTGCTAACATAGACGTTATAGGTCGAGACAAGTCTTTTACCTTCATGCCGAGATGCAACTTACGGATTGCCTTCTCGGAGATATAAGATTTCGTTGATCGTGGGTCCAACATCGCACCAACTTGTGTTCGTGCGATCTCAACATCTGCAAACAACAACTCGCCCGTAGTCTTCGCCTTTCGAGCCCATGAGCCACGTAATGCTAGCAATTCGTTACCTARCTCATCAAGGGAGTCATCCAGAGAGACAGAACATAAGACAATGTCAGGGCGATCTGGATGATGGGCTAAGGAAGAATCATCCTCTGCCAATTGAGAAGAAGGGTAGGAAGGGGTCATAGGCGCCTTACCTGTCTGTTTGTTCTTACCCTTAATCTCAGTAGGAGCAGATGCTACTCCTACTGCTTCCGGATCTGAGGGCAGTAGGCGATCACATGTCCCGCTGTGCCGCACTTGAGACATTGCGCATTGTCCATGCGCTCCTGCCAAGTCTTTCTAGTCATACCCATTTCCACCCATGGCTTCCCATCAGCAATGCCAGGGTGCCATGAAAACGCTCTTTGTTTCTTCACTCCTGTCCTGGGTGGTCCTCCCTTATTGGCCACAACAGCAGTGACTTCCCCCTTCCCGGAGTCACTGTTGTTATCATTCTCCTCGTTCGACCACTTTTCCACTGTGTCGTCATCAAAGACGACAAGGGTGTGGTCCTGGTGCTTCTGTCGCCAGAGCACTCGTTTCCCATTGTACTGTCTTCCTCCTCCTCCTCCAGACTTGACTACCGCTGCATAGGAATTCTTGACTTGAGAAGTCATCTGTTCCCTTTGCAGGGCGAGGTCACAAAATTGCCTATAGTTGTACTTACCGGAGTTCGCTTCGGTGACTAAATGTCCTCGGATGGGCTCAGGCAACGAGCGAGAATAGATGTACATCACTTGGCTGTCCTGCAAGTTCAATCCAGGAACCTGCAACAATCAGTCAACTTCTCGGGACAAAGCCTCAACTGACGTCCAATGCTTTTGACCAATTGACATCAACTGGTCAAAGGCCTTGTCGGCCGTCGTCTTGTCGAGGAAACGGTCCCTGGTTTTC